GGGACCAAATTCGCGGCGGGCGCGAGGCCGCTCGCCCGTGCTGGTGGTGGCACACGGCACACGGGAGGACTCACTACAATATTCTTCTAGCGTGCGCCTCCCGCGGCGGCGAGCACTGCTGATCCGGGCGTGTGTCCGACCGGGTGCGCGCGTGGTTGGCTGGACCGCACCTGGGAGTAGTACGTGCTCGGGGAGAGGGGCCTGGGGGATACGGGCTGCGCGTGCCAGACTGTGTTCCGTGGGCGTGCCACCGCCCGCGGCATATCGTGCACGGTATTGGACAGCACGGCTTGTAGTCCGATTGGCGCAGTGCGGCGTCGATAACTAACCGCTGGGTCTAGAGGTGGTCTGCCATTGGGTGCTCAAATCGTAGGTCGAGCTGGGTGTGATTGGGTGGGTTGAGTTCGACCAATCGCCGGGCTCGGCACCACGAACAGAGAGGGGTCTGCCGTCTGGTACAGTTCACAGATGTCCTGAATTAAAGCATTTCGTCAGTCACCATCGTCCTGCTATACCATACTCACTTCCTGTGTCTTCCGCTCGTGCGCCGATATACGGAACGGGAAGAACCAGCAGATCGAACTACCCACTCGCGGGTCGCGAAGCGCGCGTGGAGCAACCCATCGAGCAAAGCTTGGCCGGTAGCGCATAAATTGAAGACTCCAGCGATATGTCCTGTGCGCCTTCCGCAGCTTGTGTACCGCGTGCACAATGAAAAACACGAGGAGGGTGTGCCCCGCATGAACATGTGTCCTCGGAGCAGCGCGGCAGAACGCGCGGCAAAACGAGCGACCAGCGTCGTCGTGAGGGGGAGGCGCCCCCAAGATCCCCGCGCCCCGCGCGAGACGGCGGACGGACCGCGGTTCCACGGCTTGCCCACGGAGGCAGAATCACGCGTGCGTAGCTCGCCGTACATACGACTGCCGTGCGGCGGCACAGACGATCCACTGTCAGAGAGGGCGGGGGCGGCGAGCAGAGCTGTCACCGTCGTGTCACCGGCCTCCAGACGTGCTTGCGGGGCAGCGGAGCTCGAGGGCGCACTTGGGGGGCGTCGCGATCGGGCGGGCGTGCCATTCGTTCTTGCCGCCGCGCGTGCGCTGATTCGTCGACCCGCGGACCCAGCGCAGCGGCGGCCTCTCGCAGCGCGTCCCGGGGGACGGGCAGATGGGTGATCGCGGGTGGCTTGGGGGACGCCACGGCGCACATCGCGTGTGGCGCGCGGCCGCTGAGTTGGAGGCGGGAACGTGGTCGATGGGCGAACGGGGATGGGATCTGTCAAAGAAGAGTAAATCAGGATATGTTTCGGCCAATCATGGGGGTGCGCTGTGTCTCTCTGAGACGGTAGGCCAATCACGGATGGGCTGGCGATCTGTTTTTTGGCTGGACGACGACAAGCGCAGTGCGCACGCGAAAAGACGAAGATGTACCAAGCGAAGGTCGCCGACGACTTATGACGTGTTCGTGCCGTGTACCGCATAATCGTGAGTTTCGTGGCCAATGCAGCTGGAAAATCCCCTCTTCGATCAAGCTGTGTATGATATAAACAGACCAGTTGCGGGGTACAAGTCGTCGGACGAGGGTCGGAGTGCGGGTGAGAGGACGAACATGGGCGCTAGAGGGGACGAATCAGCCGGTGATGGCAGCTCGGGCGGGCTACGTCGGTGGCGCCCGCCTCGTCTCTCTCCTCGACACCCCGACGGATCGCTATCGCTGCGGGGAACCCGCGAGCAACGCGAGTCTCAGCTCCCAGCACGGTGCGCGACGACGAAGAGTGTGCACTGGAACGCGCGCACGCGAGCGCGCCTCTGCCGGCATCGCGGCCCAATCTGTTCCATCGCGACCTTCCAAGCACCCATACAGGCTGGACCCACTGGCCCCCACTGGCCCCCGCGGGCCTGCGGCATCTCCCCGCCCATCTTCAATCTATCCACCCCGCCGCAGGCTCTATTGCGCCCGGGTGCTGTCGCGCGCACGCCGTCACCCGCTGGGGGCCATCTGATCAGCGGCTGCCCACATTTATCCTGCCCATCACCATCTAACAAAACTAATCTCGCCGTAGCCGACCCACGCCCGCCTGCCTGGCGGATCGACGCGGCTCGGAATTCACTCGCGTTTTCGCAGGGACATACACTGCGCAGACGACGTCTACTGGCTGGCCCTGCTGAGCTACTACTGGCCAACTGGTGTGTGGGCCGGCACGACATATCTGACAGACTAGCTGCAGCTTGTATGACTCGCTGTTTCACACCTCCTGCGCCCCCGCCAATCGCGGCTCGCGCGGCCGCCCCGCGCGAACATTGCGCGAGAAGGCAGCGTGTCACCTAGCCCGCGCGAGCAATGCAGGCTACCCACTAGGATGCCGCTGCACTCGAGTCTCGCGCTTCGCAGTCTCGAGAAGTGGCGTCCGAGACTCAGACCGCACACCACCAGCCCCAGCACTCGGATCCCTTCTCCATGCCACGCTAGCGAGTTGACCAGCTTGCATTCCTCGAGCAATGCTGCGTTGCCGGGATGTGCGCGCAGAGGTCCGCGGTGCGACCCCTCCGGACGCCTAGCACTGGCTGGTGCTCTTCTGGCCTATGGCGTGCCCGGAGCTCTGATTGTAACGGGTCTCAAGATTGTCTCTTAGCCTCCTCCGCTGACGTAGCCCCTCGCACACCCACAGGCCCGCGACGATCCCGATCGCGAACCTACCGTAGCGTGTCCCCTCCGCACGCGACTTTCCACGGACGGGCGGACGGGCGGGCGCGGCAGGTGCCACCAGCAAACGATTACCCAGTGGTGCGCGGCGTGGTATGTAAATTGTGATTTCCCACCTTATTGCCGTGCCCTTGCAACCTCGCGTCCGCTGGCCATGGGCTCGCCTCTTCGTGCGTGATGCGCCGCGAGCGACGGACTGCTGGCAGGGGCAGCTTGAGCTCGGGGCATCTGCACTCAATCTGCGCTTGTGTGCTGAGCGTCCCGCCTCCGTCGTGCACGTCCATCAACGCGACTGCGCGCATTGGCATTGGTCCCTTATCGCCTCCCTCTATCTCCCATTTTCGCGTTTAACACATTTGGGCGCACGCGTGCCGATTGGACGAGCATAATCCCTGCGTCCAGCGAGGCAGCGATCCCTGGGCACGCATCGTCTATATTCACGTAATCTGCGCGACGCGTCGTGCTCTCTTACAGGGCGCACCGACGCGCGTTGCTGCGTTTCGTATTATCGTGCTGATGCAGCGCATCACGACCCTGGCTAGTATCGCAATACTTACTCTCTTTGCGTTGATAGAGGTACAAGCTCCTCGCGCGGGAGCCAATGGGCGGCCGACTGCGCACGTCCAAGGACGCCTGCGATTGGCTGCTGCAAGCCTCTTGGTATACCGGCCAATCACACATCGGCGCTCCCGGGCGCGCGTCCGTGGTCACCGCAGGCGCGACCCCGCGCGCCCCGTCGTCCTCATCTGTCCGTTGACGTCCACCACAAATGCAGAATAATATCGTAAAACCAGGGCCGGCGCACGCGCGCGCCATCGAGCAGGTGCGCCAACCCGGCGGTGTGGGCGACGCGGGGGCATATCTGGCAGTCGACGACATCATCGATCGCCACGGCGCCGCATTCGGATTCAGATCCAAATGGACGTCGGCGCGCCTTCTCGAACGACCGACCGAACTCGCGCGCGCGAAACCGGACGCGAACGGCAGGCGCACTGCCCCGCACCGAGTGGGGTCGGGAGGGCGGGCGCGCCGACGCGGGGGTGCGTATGCAGCGGTATGGAGACCCGCGCCTCGGTGGTTCAGAGCTTGGAACCTGGAAGGGGGCGCGCGCGAGATGATTGGGCGGGGCCTGTGGGCCCGGGCAGCATGCTGGGACACGATTTTGGATTTGGGGGGCGGTCTTGGCTGAACCGAAGAGCAGCTGCAGGGGGAGATGCCGGGCGTGATGTCTCTCCTGCGATGCGCGGGAGGCGCGTCGCGTCGGCGGGTCCTGCGCTAGCGGCGCCGGGGCGCAAGGGCCATGGCGCGTGGCGGGGCGCGGGGGTACGCGAGGAGCGTGGCCGGGGCGGACGCGTGCGGCATGCGCGGCGGGCGGGGCGGGATCGCCATCAGCGAGTGCGTGCGGTGATTCCGAGGAGGGCGAGCGGCGCGGAGGGGCGGGCGCCTGGGGGGCGAGAGAGGCGATTGCTGCATGCGGAGCGGCGATGACGGGGACTCGCCGCGAGAGTGTGCGCTCCGTTCGCGATGGCCACACCCACCCGCGGCCGGCCCTCTGGCGGAACACGCCCCGGCGCGGTGCACCTCTCGTTATTATTGCGCAGGTCACGGCGCGTCACAGTGTCCGCCGGGGGAGGAAGCAGCTGGAGAGCCGAGAGGACCGTGGGGGCGGACGTTCCGAGGGGAAGACGTCGCGCGACGGCCTGTTCGCGTCCCGGTTCGCGTGGAGAGTCGCGTCGCGTCGTGTCCACGAATGCGAACCGCGAAGCCCGCTGTACCGACGTCGACGGCGCGTCGGACGTCGCGCGGGCGCTCGCGAGCAGCACGTACGCCGGCGGCGGGCGGGGGGTGCCGGACAGCGAAGACGCTCCGGATATCCAGGTATCCTGCGCCAGTGCACACTGGTGCAGGAAGGGCGGTGATTGGCCTGCAGTGCAGGGCGGGGCGTCGACGCGGGTTCTTGGCCAGCTGGGGCATTCTTTCGGTGTTTTCCAGCGAACTGCATTCCTCGTCCACTCGGGACGCGTTCTAGCGCGCGCCTGCGAACCAGTGGGTCTTTTTAATTACAGGCGTCCGAGGGAGTGGGTCGCCGGCAGATGGCGATCGGGGGAGATCGTGGGCGTCTATCTGGGCACTGAAGCGAGGAATCCCTTGGGCGGCTGTGGGTCAGTTAGCGTAGGCTCGCCATTCACGCTCCCTACGCTCATATACCGTATATAACCTCGCCCTAATCCGTCCGTCCTTCCCCCGTCCTCCCCGTCCCGCTCCATCCCCTCCCTACCCCCCGCCGCCGCCCAGCGAGTCCACGCGCCGCCGCTGCACGCCATGGCTCCCAACCACCGCGAGAACCTTGCCCAGCACATCCACATCTCCTCCGCCGACGACCTCTCCTACTCCGTCTCCGCCTCCTCCGGCATCAATGACACCATCCAGACCATCGTCACCGGCCGCAAGTGCTGGAAGACCATGAAGGGCAAGGGCGAGGTCGTCTGGCCCCCATATCTCGAGGGTGCCCTCGTCGAAGGTGCGCCATCACATGTTTATCTCCCCCGGCCGGGTATATGCGCGTCATATCTTCGCCCGGGGGTCGCATGCTTTTTAGTGTTGTTCTTAATTAACACGCCGACGTGTTTCCAGGGCTCGAGAAGTATCAGCCCGTCGAGTCCCGCACCTCCCGCTCGTTCGGCCGCTTCCCCATGCGCAACAAGTTCATCTCGGACTACATCTTCAACGTGACCGGCAAGCGAAGGACACCCAAGCAGGTCGGCTCCCGCCTCCAGCAGCTTCGCGATACGGCCGAGGGCAAGCGCAGTACGTTTGTTTCTCCTCGCCCGCTTCCGCTACACATTTCATTTAATTCGTCGCGACCAGTCCTCCAGCAGTTGTCGAGCAGGCATCTCGCCATGATGCAGCCCAAGTCCGCCCAAGCGCAGTCAAGCTCGGATACCTCGTCCGAACGGCCCTCGACCGCCTGCAGCACGCGTTCGACTCCCGCGCCCTCGACAACGCCTTCGACATCGACAGCGGCCTCCACCCCTTCCCCCATAGCCCGCGCACCCGCGAGCTACGTCTCCATCGATGTCATCCCGGACCCCGGTGCCCCCTCTCCTCCTATCCGCCTGCCTGGCCTCGGCGGGATGTCCCTTTCAATTCCCACCGCGACCCCGTCGACGCTCGCGAGCTTTGTGCCGTCCCCCACTTCTTCTCCATCCGGCATGGGTCTTGGCCTGAATACCTCCGGGCCCCGCGTCCTGCGCAACATCGATCCCTCGGTAACGTTCATGTCTCGTACGCCGCTCGCAGCGTACTCGACCTTCAAGGTTTCGAAGAACCACGCCGGGCACATCCATTCGGAGCGCACCGAGCTCGAGATGCTCTCGAGCAGCTGCATGCCCGCGCCGCAGTGGCCGAGCGAGATGGAGTGCAGCTTCCTCTACCGCACGCAGTTCGTCCCGCGCTTCTGGGAGACGCTCTGCCGCTCAGCAGGTGAGCCCGCCGAAAATACTTATCACGGGGAGGCGCGCATATACTCACCGTCCCGCTCTTCCCCCGCCCACCTAGACCCGTCCGCGTTCACCGTCGTCCAGGAAATCGTCCGCTCAGGCGCCGCAGAGAACTACAGCATCGAGGACGTGTTGCTGTCAATCGTGTACCAGTTCAACAACGTCTCCGCGACGCCACCGCTCTCGCCTGACAGCGCCACGTTTTCGGACTCTGCAAGCCGGCCGAGCACCGCGGGCAGCCAGTTCTCGTCCTCGAGCGGGGTGAGTCTCGCCCGCAGGATTTTTTGCGCAGCATATGCTGATCTTTTTAATTTGGAATCAGGCGGACCTCAGCTCCGACCTCGACGACATCATGATGTTCAACTACCCGCTCGACGTGCCAAATATGCACCACTCGATGTCCGGCCCGCTCCCGCCCATCCACGCCCCGGGCGACATGAAGCACATCATGCCCCCGTCGCTCATCCACTCCGACGAGGACTCGTACTCGAGCCTGCCGCCCACCCCGACCAGCCCGCTCGAGCTCTCCGCGTCGCACCTCGGCTGGCACAACTCGATCACGGGCGCGCAGGGCGAGTGCGGCCAGAACATGTACGGGATGAACGCGGGGATGGGCCAGCCGATGGGCCTCGGGCAGGGCGACGTCGCGATCGCCGGCTCCGGGCAGTATGGCATGGGGGTGAGTCGCTGCATTTTCCCTACATATGGCCCCAACGGCTGACGCGCCTTCAGAACTACATGGGCCACTACGGGATGTAAAGGGGAGTTGCACGCACCTCGCCGACCGCGCTCAAGCGCGCACGCCGCGCTTGGACCCGCACACACATAGTGGGCGGGCCGAAGGACGGCCGCGCGGGCGGCGGCGACGCGCTCACAAGTGCGGCACGTATACCCCCGTCGTCGAAACAACCCCGCACTCGCGCCCTTCCGCCTCCCCCCATGCGCGGCCATCACACCCGCCGTCGTCTAGGGGGGATCGGGCGCAGCCGCGGATCTTGGATGGTGCTTCCCCCTGCCCTGCGCGCCGTAATCACAGCGCACCAGCCGCTCTTCTTCTCGTCGTCTCCTCGCTTCGTCGCATCTCGTCGTTCGGCTCTCCGAGATCTCTGTCTCTGTGTGTGTACCCACGGGTGTCTGCGTCTGTACCGTACCTCTATCGCCACCTAATCGTCCGCCGCACGCCTGGCGCCGCTCGCTTCTACCCTCGCTCTTTGCCCGTAATCGACTCCTCCCGTGCCCTGCCTCGCCGCCCCTGCCCCCGTTCCGCCCCCTGCCCCCTGCCGCTCGTTCTGCCCAGGCCGCCTGTCGCTCGTTTGCGTTTGCGTTTGGACCCGCCGGCCGCTGCTGCTGGCTCCCCACGGACCGCCCCTGCTCTGCCCTGCCCTTCGCGTTCCGTATCTTGTGTCTCACAGTTTTCGCAAGCGGACACTTTTTTCGAGCCCGGCATTATCACTTCCATATACGATATTGTTGCATTACTACCCGCGTGTCTTACTACCCCCATCATCAACCAACCCTTCGGCCCCACTTCGCATTTCGCACTTCACCTGCTTGTTACCATACACCCCTTCGCATTCGCATTCGGCTCCCCATGCTCCCCATCTTCGCATTGCCCATTAACCAGGGTAGGCGTTATTGCGCGCCCGTGTTTTACAATCTCTTTCCCACCGTGCGCCGCGTCGGGCGCGGCGATCTAGTGCCATATTGTGTATACCACCACCCACCTGTCTCCATTACCCATTCCACCCCATGCCCTACGTCCCATCCCAAGCCCAAGCCTCCCACCGTTATCGTCCGCCGCCCCACCTGTAATACCTCGGTCCCCGTCCCCTGTTAGCGATAGCAGCCCCGCCCATCCTCGTCGTACAATACCATCATCATCGTCAGCCATTACCCGTATCATACCACCCCCGGTCCCCGTCCATCGTCGTGCCGAATTCTTGGGTCTGCCGTATGCGAGCTTCGTAGTATGTGTACCTACCACCTACCTGCACGTCTGTGCCCGATGAGGGCCGGATGTATTGTATATAGCCCCAGCTTAGCTACCTAGAATATCAGCCGAATTAGTCAATCCTCGTTGCGCGTGTGTTTGCCGCCAGCCTGCAGTACTTGAAACTCGGAGAACGAGGTACGACGAGCCCTTGGTGGCACCGTGGCGGGATTTACGCGCGCATCTGCCACCCACTCGCGCAGAGTCCAGCCCGCGCCCGGCCGGGCCGCGACCCTCATCAACGCCACAATTGTGCGCCTCTCTGCACCCTGCAGTCGCGGACTCGCGCATGGAGAGTGGGCACGTCCTCCCGTCGACGACCCCGGGGCGAACTTGCCAGCCGTCGTTCCTAGTGCGACCACGCGCGCACGGGCCCCTGGGCCCCTAGACACTGGGCATACATACGCCCACACTGCGGGGCCTCGCCCCACCGCCGCGCCCAGCCCCGCCCGCGTGCGCGATACGCGGGCCCGCCATCAATATTAATGGGCTCTCGGTCCCGCACTGGCCCGTCTCCGAGTCTCTGATCAGGACCAGGTACGGCGGTGGGTGACAGTGTGTCGTCGTGTATCGTGTGTGGGCATGACATACAGGAGGGATAGGAGGTGCGCCAGGCACACACGCGCGACGCTAGCTAGATGGATTGCGGGTGATAGAGTGAGTACGTTAGAGTGCGCAGTATGCCGTCCAGGTACAAAGGCGAGGCACGCCAGGGCGGGATGACGAGATGACGAGTGCTCGAGGCGGCGGGTGGCAGCTTGTTGCTTGAGCTTGAGCTAGAGAGACTAATAGGGTGCGTGTTCGGGTGCAGTGGTGTACGTACAGGGCTTCAGGGTCGTATGGAGGCGAGCGTATGAGAAACGACGCGTCGGACACGTCGGGCGACGGAGGACAAGTATGAAGGGCCGAAGGCTCTGTGCAAGTACAAAGCGTGCCTGGAGGATATCACGGAGAGGACTCAGGACGGCGGCGCGACGAGAACAGCGAAGGCTGTGCGGCGGGGTGTCGCGAGCACTGTTCACGCCTAGGTGGAGGCGTACAGGCAGCCACAGGTCCCCTTCGAGGCTCGACGCGCGAAGCCCCGCGTCGCACGCACAGCGGGGTGCCTAGCACGGAGGGAGTGAGGAACAACCGGGGGCGCAGGGTGTAGGTGTGCGAGAGGCGGAGCCGAGCAGCAGTTGTTCATTCTCGCGTATGGCGCACTACCGGTGGGTGATTGGAGTACCCAAGGTTAAGCGGAAGGCGAGAGCACCACACAGGCACAGTATTGCTATGAATCTAGGTAATCCGAGTAAGTGCAATGGAGGAGTGGGAGGAAGGCATCTGCGCAGCGCCGGCGGAAAGTAGGGCCAGTGGGGCATCATCATACAGCATCGGTCACCTCGGAGGTGCTCTATCGAACAGGTGCAGAGCAGGTGAGACAAAGACCAGCATAGTCACAGACAAAGATTGTATTCGCAGACGAGCGCAAGGGCGAGCTGAGCAAGACGTATGCGCGGATCCCGCATTCATTTCACGAGGGGAGCGCCCAACTAGAGTGCGTACGACGATGGTCATAGCATTGCCGCCCGCTGCTCAGCTGCAACGACGAGCATGCCGCACCACCGAAAGGCACAGTCCCCGCGCACGGCGCAGCTGTAATCGGCTAGCCCGCGAAGTAGGGAAGAGCGCCGGTGCTACGACCTTCAGATTTCGCCTGTCTGGGTGCCCGAGCGGAACAGCGCAGCGAGGCGCAAGAAGATGGCAGGAGATGAAGTGCATCGCCCGGGAACGCGAACCGCAGAAGCCAAGGAACGGACCGAAGACCGCAGAAACCACAGAACAGCGAACAGACTCCAGCGAACACAGAACACGATGGCACGACGTCGACAGCCCGCATCCCAGAGCCACGTCTGCGGGCTCAGCAGCCGGCCCGGCGATATCGGGCTCGCGGACGCCAGGTGCCAGGCGTAATATACAGACCCTTTGCTTCGCGCACGCAGAAGAGCCGGCGGGCCAGCGTACGACCGGAAGAAGACCGACTCCACAGCACAGACATCCGAGGCGTACGAGGAGCAATTGAGAGGCTTAAGCTTTCGAAGCGCGGCCGGACGACACGACCGCGCGGGCGCACCGGCGGGACCACATCCACACCGGGGATGCGCGCGGCCGCGCGTGATGGTCGCCAGGGGCGCACGCGTCGAAGCGCAGGGGAGCGCGAGGGAAGGATGCCGCGCGGCCGCAGGCGGGGCGTGCGGGACGTGATGCACGGACGGGCTATCTGCGCGCGGCCTCCACAATCATCGGCCTGGTGTTCTGATCCGCTTCGCGAAGCGTGGGCGGGGAGACTAATGCTCGCGCTGCCGCCCGTGCCCGGGGCGCAGGAGCACCAAATGGGAGGGCGTGCGCGGGCTGGGACCCTGGTGCGGATGGCAGGGCGTGCCGGGCTAGAAGGCGGGGCCGAGGCCGGGCGGACGTAAGGCGCGGGGGGTGTCGTGTTTTGACGTGCATCGTTGAATAGCGTATGTCGTGCGCGCGGATGATCCGCTGGGCATGTTCTGCATGACGGAACAATGTGGGCGAGCTGAACGCCACATTCGCACAGCGGCCGAAGCCGTGTTGCAACGTCCTCGTTGGTATTGGGCCTCAAAGATACGTCGAGGACGGCGCGATGGACGCGCCCCGGGGCACCCGAGGACTGCATTGTACTCGGGCGTGCGTGGAGAGGGTCTCGAACGGAGATAGCTCGTGTGGGTCGATATGTCACCGGAAGGCGAACAGAACGGACGCGGTGTGGCAAGAAGGGGCAGAAAAGGATATATTGTGCATCGGCACGACGTGTTCGCGGGCGGTCGCGCACGAGGAGAGGGTGGTCCACGGCTTCTGGAGGCTATCTATGACGCGGGTGCGCGGCACCCCAGGAGAAAGACAATACCAGACGGGCGCGGCTGCAGATGATGAGCGGAAGATCGCGCAGGAGGAGGTGCAGCAAAGTCCGAGGTCCAGGAAGCATGTCGTCGCTTGTCGCATCTGAGCGCGGCCGGGTGTGCGATGGCGATCATCATCGACAATGGATGGAACGCGCGGGCGGACCGTCTCGCCTACGGTCTCACGCCCGATAGTTGAGCGGAGGATTCTGCAAACAGAGTAAGTGTTCACCGGGAATAGCAGGCGCGCACAATTGATAGCCTTCTCCCGTGAGCTTCTTTTTGGTCGGTGTGCCAGGCAAACCACTGCATCGGGACAGCAGGGCGGGAAAGGGGAGAACGGACTGTGGGAACTGGGCGCGGCAGACGGCACGCCTCTGCTTCGGACGTCCACCTCGAGGCTCGCGCGTCCCATGATTGACATGATGAACGGAGCGACGTTGTCAGCTTTTGGGAGCTTGGGAACATCGGGCTGAGAGCATTTGGGTTAATCACGGTTGAGAAGGGGAGAAGCGCACTAAAGTCTGGAGCCACATCGGCGCGTGACGGTCTGTTGGCTCTGCCCACCTTACCGTGGCACTGGGCAGGTGTAGAGAGCGAGGCGAGCGGACGCGACGACATACCAGATGTATCTCGATTCCCGGGGTTTGACAGGAGTATCGGGGTGGGCTGACGGTTGGCTGTATGTTCCAATACCAACCTAACAGATGGCGTCTGCAGTGAGGGAAACACATGATGGCTGACCTGTCTTCCTGTGGACGTAATCGTTTGGATTTGAACTCAATGTTACGGCTTCATATCAGATGTCGCATCCAGTGCGAATAAGTCACCTTGTCTCGCTGGTACGTAGAAGATTCTACTTCAGGAGAACGTGTGAGGGCCGATAATCATAGCTAACCATGTCGAGAATGGCCGCTGCGCACAATTGTCTTTCATCAGATGTCTGTCATTCATTAGAGCTAGCCCTGTAGATGACTGTGCACACTCACCTGAATGTTGCTAGAAACCAGATACCGCGGTCGGATAGGAACGTCGTGGTCGAAGGTCAAGCTGCTCGCCCGCCATTGGTGGCGAGAATTTCCTGATTCGTGTCTATCCACGTGGCAGACGGCTTCGTGGCACCTTCCAAATCGAGCACAGCTCGCTTGTTGCAACACCTCCATCTCCTTGCTCGAGGCTGAGCAGCGTACAGTTCACGCAGCCACCACACGTTTTTGCCATCAAGCGGTATCTGGAACATTATGTGAATGTCGGCGACAATAATCTTAGGTGCGTAAGCGCCCATATAAGTATCCCGGTGCCACTGACCGTCCGACACCTACCAGCACCCGCTATCCAAACACATACTACAAATTCGTCAGCACCTAT